ATAACAGAGGATCTCAAATCACTCTCAATTTTCCTTGATATTAGGGCAACAAAACTTTTGAGTTCATAACGTTTTGTGGTTGCCAAATAATTTTAATTTTCAGGACACAAGCTGTGGAATACTTTGCCGAATGTTGTCTCTGCCCGAAAAACGAGACGTTTGTTAGAGTACAAGCAGGTATCGACAGTCCTGCGCAGATCGGAGATAAAGCGAAGTGGTTCAGCGAATCCTTGATGCCCGTGCATTTTATGGTAAATCTCTTTCTTAATGTGACTGCATCATCAAAATCGCCGAAATTGTCCTCAGGTCTATCCAAACGAATCTTCGCTCTGCGCTGCGTACTATGCTTACAGTAGGGAAAGTGGTATGGAATCCGACAGCGACGACAATGAGTCGAGGTCCATAGACAGCTCGTCGAGCATCGATGATCTGGTGTTCGATGGACCAGATGAAGCTAGTGGTGAGTTCATTATCTCTCCGAGTTTTCCAGGAAGAAGTTGGAAATATCTATTCAGAGCGTGATATCATCATCAAACCACTTGCCGAAGTGAATGATGTTTATAAGGAGCCATTGACTCTAGAGCTTCCTCCTAGCGATAGTGCTGCGTCGATTGGTAGTTCCATAAGTAGCGGGAGGTGAGCGTCTTGTCAGTTGTCATTCACTTTTCATGACTCTTAACAGTCAGCAGTGAGAGAGTGATTGCAGAAATTGGTGTCAAAGGTCTTTATGTCACTACATGTCCTTATATAGTCAAAAGCATGATCTTTCAGCTCCAGTGAACATGGAAATGGGCTGTTAAAAACATTTCCATAAATAATGAAATGTCGCTGAAAATCCCCTCCCAAGATTCTCTATGGCATTCTCTACCATCACCATAACCACTGCTTTGCGAAAGAACAGATTGCTTTTATTAGTTTGGGCAGAATTCACACGTTTTAAAATTCAGACCGCACTAGGTATGAGCTGAGTGTATTCGGTTGAAACTATTCTTGAATTGACGAATTGTTTCACTCAGTTTGCCTTGATATTAGTTCTTTAAACTGTGCTTGGGATCATTTAATTTGTACTTGCAATTCTGTGTTTCGTTACCATCGGAGCCATGAAAAGCTACTTTTGCAGGTCCAGTCCAGCTTCTTCACTTTCTGCCTCGGCTATTGATAGCGAAGCTGACTTTGCGAGACTGGCTGAGAATCTTGCTTTGAAATCTGATTCTAAGGTGATTATTTCATTGACAAATAATTTCGATTGACTTGTAAGTGCTATTAG